TTTGAGTCTCCGCTTTAAAATCTTTGGTGTATATACCTAGGAGTGGAATTGCTGGGTCATGTGGTTGTTCTATTTTTTGTTTTTTGAGGAACCACCACACTGTTTTCCACAACAGCTGTACCATTTTGCATTCCCACCAGCAATGGATAAGGGTTCCAATTTCACCACATCTTTGCCAACATTTGTTATTTTCTATTTTTTTATCTTAGCCATCCTAGTGGGAGTGAAATGGTTCCCCACTGTGGTTTTGATTTGCATCTTTCTAGTGACTAATGATGCTGAACATTTTTTCATATGTTTGGTGGCCATTTGAATGTCCTCTTTGGTGAAATGTCTATTCAAGTCCTTTGCCCATTTTATGATTGGGTTGTCTTTTTGTTATTGTCAAAGTGTTATGTATATTCTGGTTATTAGATTATTGTTGGATATATGTTTCCAAAGATATTCTCCCAGTCAGTAGCTTGTCTTTTCACTTTTTTGATAAAGTCTTTTGATGAACAAAAGTTTTTAATTTTTATGGGGTCCCATTTATTTATTTAGTCTTTCGCTGTTTGTGCCTTTGTTATTATATTAGATAATCCATTGTTGAAAGCTAGGTCTGACAGTACTGCCCCTATTTCTTCTTCTAAGAATTTTATGGTTTTAGTTTGCACATTTAGGTCCTTAATCCATTTTAAATTTGTTTTCGTGTATGGTGTGAGACATGGATCCTGTTTCATTCTCTGTATGTGGAAATCCAATTTTCCCAGCATCATTTATTGAAGAGACTCCTCTTTCACCATTGAATGTACTTAGCACCCTTGTCAAAAATCAGTTGACCACAGATGTGTGGGTTTATTTCTGGCTCTCAATTCTATTCCATTGATTTATGTGTCTATTGTTACACCAGTACCAGGCTGTTTTTTTTTTTTTCCCCTCATTTTTTTTATTGTACTTCAGGTGAAGGCTTACAGAACAAATAGTTTCTCATGAAACAGTAGTACACATATTGTTTTATGACATTGGTTAACAAC